TAGTCCATTGGTGCCTAGTGTCTTCTTCTTTTGATGTGATTTCAGTTGCCTGAGTCTTATTATCGATCACCTGCTTGTCCGCTCGGTGATCATCTGCTATCTGCGCTCTGGGCTTCTACATATGTAGAAACTGGTATTGGTCGACGTCCACGTTCTGTGAAAGTCGTGTTGCTGCTTGTGGACGATGCGAATATTGCCATCTTGAAGTAAATGTTGAATTCGAGTTGGCTGCAGGAGCGTCCAATGTGTCGAAATGTAGAAAAATATGTACCCCCGTCGGAGGACGAAAGTTTGAAATCCAATTCTAAACGCGCGCATCGGTTGGAGAAGACTCCTAGCGACCGTTTGGCACGTAATTTGTCACAGCGAAAGTTCATAATGGAGGTAATCTGTGAACGCCATGGTTTGGACGTGCTAGGTAACGAGAGTCAGATACAACAACCGAAAGACCCACAGCCACGGGAGAAAAAAAATTCTGAAGCCGTTTATCGGATCTCGCACAGTTGCGAACAAAAAAATTACGTCGGACAAACCAGAAGACTGCTCTGAACCGAAATGGCCGAACACACGGTAGCAGTGCGGCGAAATGATGCCAACCCTCAGGTCGCCGCGGGTCATTCGACGAAATCTGGCTACAAGTTGAAGTTCAATGAGGCCCAGATTCTCGCGAGGAGTGAAAATAACGTGAGCATCTAGCTGTTTAAATCATGGTTCACTGCCGCCCGCCTGACGTTTCTGATTCTCACTCGAATCCATCACCAGAGACAGAGTCAGGTAAGGGTGGTGGGTTGCCCAGGTGTTGTAATATCTACAGGATGTAGTTGCTAGGCCGCTACATGCCTATCACAGTTGTCAGCTCCCGAGGGCATCACAGCTGGACTGGCCAGGTGTTGAAGTATGCAGTTGCCATGCCGTTACTACGCGTCAAGATTATCGGCTCCCACGCTTATCGCACGCTGTCGAGTGGCTGACTGCCGGATTTCGTCATCCGTCTGGACTCTTGGGTGAATTGACCATTGCCTCTGATGATGGGTCCAAGCAGGAATGTGAAATGCCAAGCCAATAAAATCCTTCTTCGGCCTTATTCGTAACACCAGCCGCTGCGAGCCTGCAGTGAAGACCGTGCTGAGAGTGTTTCATCCTCTTGTCACTGGGTGGATGCCCCCTATGCTACGCACGCAACTCGAGTGCGACTGCAGTCTGCACGCACGCACGAAACCCCACCCAGCCACCAACTCCCTCCCTCCGCACCAGATGAGTAGTTTTTATTGCCAAACGATGCACCTAGGCTTGCGTGGGACTGCTCGTGGCTGGCATTTCGTTTGTGATCGATGCGTCTAACCCTAATCTAGTGAGAGCATCATTCGCCATGACGTAATGCAGAACTGCTGGTTTGTAACCAATTTACGGGTAACGTCGTGCCACGCGTGGAGGTAAATGCTGCGCAAGTCTGCCACCAGTATAATCTCAATCATTTTGTCATGACTGTCGACCAGTCAGCACTGAATCTCGTCCGTCATTTTGACAAAGAAGTCATCCATTGAAGTCGCCGAGATTGTCGTTTGTTGCTTTCTTAACGTTGGAGTCTTCAGGAAAGGTCGGTCACCAAGCCGACCTTCGAGCTGCAAACTAGTTAAATGTTTAAGTTTTCTGTTGTATTGAAGGTAGGGCAAACAAATGCAGTCTGCTCTATGGCCTCACAGCAGCGCTCCATACTATTTGTTTACGGATAGCTCTGACTGGACGACTGTCGTCTGAAATCTCTGCTTATTAGAATTCCTGCAATCGCGTTAGTACTGGACAAACCCTGGTCCCTAAAGATATCTCCTGACTGTTGGCTGCAATATACGCGCTATCCTGTCAGTATGCCGTGTTTACAGGAACTTCTGATAGGTTGTGTTTTTTGAGAATAGGATTGGTCTCAGGACTAAAACTAACTGGTCTCCAGTGTAGGAGGTATAGTAGTGTTGGCCAAATGCCATAGTTCACGTACACATGCCCTTTGAATATTTATTTGCGTACTTTACTCAAAGAACTGTCCTTCAAGTTATTCTACCTGAGCCATTTTATTTGCTGGCTTTTTTCGCATGGACATACGAAACCCCGCGCATCCGTCTTCGTCCGCACCAGATGAGTACTTTTTACTGCTAAGCGATGTACCTAGACTGGCGTGAAACTGTTCGTGGTTGACTCTCGGTTTGTGAATACAACGCACTTAACCTTAATGCAATGAGAGCAACATGCGTTTTGACGTAATACAGGACTACAGATTTGCAATCAATTCACAGGCAATTTATCGCTGACAACTGATTCACTGTGTACCTGAGTCTGCCCATTTTTTTAGAAAAGCACAAAATCCTGGAAACGTCAAAAATGGCTGTAATTTAGTTTAGTTTTTAGACGTAAAGAGTGTCTTCTTATCCATCATAACGGAGTAAATATCAATGTACAAATAACATAACGACTAAACAGAATGTTTTCTGTGAAGTCCGCATTTAAGTATCGTATAAGAGTTAGTGTAATCTCATGTATGACGGTTTGTCAACAGCCTTCAGTCGGAGTGTAAATTCGAAAACAGTTTGCGGAGATTTCGCGGTATTTTTGACTTGGGCTGATTGAGATGTGGTTCAACAGGAGAAACTAGATTTTCCTTGGCTTCGCCGATGGAGGCGTCTTAAGAACAAAAATTTACATAACGTCACATGCTGCAAGGCCAATCGGTGATCAGCGTAATCTTAAACATATTACAGTACGTGACCTATCTCAGGAAATCTGAAAATGGAAACTGATGAGGGAATTTCTGGACGCCTTTAACGTTGAGCATTTTGTTCGCTCTTCCACTTCCTTCAACAAAATGTCCTTTTCTTGTGCAGAAATTGTGTTTACGTAATTATATCAAGTAAAATATCTGTAAATGTTAGCGAAAATGGACGTTGGATGATATTCGTGTAATTTCCTATACTAATACGTGTCTTAGACTCCGGTTACGCATCTGAGCGGCTTTTTCATTAAAAGGATATTAATTTGCCCATGAGAGTTTTAATAAACAGGTTTAGCCGGACTATACATTTTATTTTAAATTCGATTATAGCCATGTTGATCCACCTGCTAACACAAAGGTTATTTTAAGAAAACCAGAGGTTTTATCAATTTCATCAACGGAGTGCAGTAATAAAGCACTTCTTAAAGAGGTAACTTACTACCGAAAGTTTTTTTCATTGATCAAAGGCATATTCGTTGCTGACTTTCGTTGTGGACAGACATTTTTCTCGAAAATGAAGTTTTATGTTTGAATGAGTCTTCAAATGTGACCCAAACGACCATCTTCGTGAAAAGGAGCGCCCGAACACTCACTAATTCGCTAAATGCCTTCAAGAATAATCTTATTTTTAAGTTCTCAACAGACAGGCAATTCAGAATCTGTCTTTATGGACGATCGGGTGAAAACACTGAAAATTACTAAGTATTCAGCAAACTTTCGAGGCCGATTTGAAACTCAACGTTATCCAAAACGAAGAAGAAGTGTAAATTAATTTAACGGAGGAATATTTATCTTTATAAACTCAAACTGGTCAGTTCTATTTAAATTTATAAGGCACCGACCGGTCTCGTGGCATGCCACCTTATGAAAACTTTTGTTCCTATGACGTCCCCATCGGTAAAATCAAGCAAAATCCAGCTTCTCTTGTTGAACCCCATCTCATTACTTTAAACAAATAAAATGAAGGAGGACTCACTGGAAAACTGTTTTGGAGTCTGCACTCAGAATGTAGGCAGTTGAAACACCGTCACATATGAAATCACACTACTCATTAAACGATATTTAGATGTAAACTTCACTAAAACACTGTTATTAGACGTTATTTTATGTTTACTTTTATATTTACCACGTTTTTGGTATGATAATACATGCTGTAATCCCTGTCTGCGTTATTACTGCACTTTAGGGCACCAAGTCGCACTGACATGCTAACATGACTTTTTTTTAAAATCATTAAAATATTTGGTTCTTTTAAAATGACCTTTGTGTGAGCAAATTGATTACCACGGTTAGGATCCGGCATAAAACAAATTCTCAAGTTCGCAAACCTCTGCTTACTAAAACTCCTGCGAGTAAATTGGTCTCCTTTTAATGAGAAACACGCTCAACTGCACAACCGAAGTCTAGGACAGATATTAGCATATGAAATGGCACGAATATATTGCAACGTTCATTTTTTCTAAAAAAAAAATAGTTAATATTTTGCTGGATATAATTGTGTAAAAACAATTTCTGCACAAGAAAAGGACATTTAATTGAAAGGGTCGAATATGCAAGCAAAATGCGTAACTTTTAAGACGTCCAAAAATTGTCACATAAGTTTCCGTGATCAGGTTTCACGAGATAGGTCACGTACTGTAGGTAAATGTCGTAGTTGACGTTACGTATTCTCTTTGGGTATTTATTTGCGAAGGTTACTAAATGGCTGTCTTTAAAATTATTCTATTTGAACTACTTTATTTGCTCGTTTTTCCGCATGGACATAGGAAAGCCCACCTAGCCACCCTTCACTCCCCACCAGATCAGTAGTTTTTACTGCTAAGCGATGCACCTAAACTGTACGTCTGTTTAGCCGGACGACCATGTGGTTTTCACGAGTGTTCTTTATCAGCACAAAACGTACCAAAACCCAGTGGCAATTATTCGAATTTTCGCAGACGGTGTCCTCATTAGCAAGTTACATGTCAGTCCATTTGGCTTTGAAAGTGCGCCATCGGCGGTTTTTTAGCCCACGTAGCCCTGACCAATAAAAACAGCTTTGGGGTTCTCACCTACGCATTATACCACATAACTGTGCCGACTATCGCCCAATCGAATCCGCACTTTGAAATCGGCCAATCAGGACCTGAAGGTCATGAGTGCGTGCGTGCGGGCGGGTTCAAAGTGTGCTGGCACTATAAGAGGCAGTGCTAATGGCACTCGAGATCATTCTTCGCTCCTGTTCTGGTTATCAGTCAAGATGGCGCTCGCAGACGTCGAAGTATTCGAAGACGCATTTCCCCTGGTTCGTAGCTGTCCAACCCTCAACGAGATTCGCACTTCGGGAGAATTGAATGAGCTCGTCATAGAGGTAGCTGTCTTTTTTGTTACCGTTCTTTACACGGAAATTTGTTCATGCTTGTTAGGTGAAGGACGGCGCTATTCTTAATGCCCATCGAATAATACTAGCGGCTCGAATTCCATCATTGCGAGCTGCTCTCAGTGGCGCCCTCGGGAAGGATAATTCGGTGCTAAAATGGCCGACGGTGCCTCTGAGGTAAAGTCATCCTCCTTGCTCTGATTTTGCTTTTGCACTTTCTAGCCTCGCAAATTCACTCCTCCAGTATGTGTACACCGGGCAGTTGGAGGTGACGCAAGCGAATGCGAGGGACTTAGTTTTGCTTGCAAGAATGCTGAATCTCCCAGTACTCGAGTATTGGGGAGTGCAATTCATGACCAATAGGTAAGCAAGTGCCGGTTCTTTCTGTCTAACTGTCGGCTGTGAAGAGTGAATTTAGAAAATCTGGCTACCACATGGGACTTTGCCAAATCTCTGCGCATGGGATCCCTGATGGAGACTTGCATCAATCTGATGCAAGAGCAGTTTATGAGTTTCGTCTCTTCTGACCTCCTTGTTCGCCTGCCAGCTGACGCCGTGCTGACTTTGTTGCGAAACGACAATCTGTCAGTGGACTCCGAAGAGGCAGTTTTTGAGGCGATTTCAAGCTGGGTGGGTGCCGGCGATAAAGAGTGCGATAATGAGAGACTGACATTGCACGCCCCCGAGATGTTAAAGGAGGTTCGTTGGTGTCAGACGACTGTCGAATTCCGCAGTCGCCTAGTCGATAGTCATCCAATGTTTCGGGATAGCAACAGCTGCCTGTAAGTATATGCTGTTTCAGTTCGTCATTTATTTTCTAATGAAAGTCGCTTTATGGCTCAGGTGGAGCAGTGGATGACCTACGCAGACAAAAACAAACCTCCGTGTCCCTTCAACCAACGTCGGAGAACGCATCTGCCACAGACGATCTTCTTCGTATTTGGAAATGACAAAAATCAGAACAGGTGGTCTGTCCTGCGTTTCCATCCGCAGCTGCAAAAGGAAGAGAGGATTGCCGACATGGAAAAGCATGAATGGGCGTCCTACAGTGTCGTGGGCGGTGAGTTGCCTGACAGTTACGCACCTCCTCTTCTGTGCACCTGCCTTGTTTTCCTCTTTTGTCTAATTTGACCAGTTGGTGTCCCTTTTTGCCAGAATTATAACAAACACACAGTTCTGCCAGTACAGCTGCCATCACTGCACAATGCAAAGGATTGCAGTAGTAGTAGTAGTAGCAGTAATTGAGGGGTTATGAGGTCTCGGAGTTGTCCATTCGTCTGGCCTGTCCCGACGCGTTTGCTGTTTTTCGTCTTCATTTTACCCAATCGTGTCTCCACCTGCGTGGTTTGTGTCGGTCACTGGGGGCCACTCAACTGGGAGATTTGTCCATCCACGTCTTTTTGTCCGACGATGATATTCTCCCTCTTTCTGTCAACTACACGCCTTTTTATTTTATCTTTCCTATCTTCTTTCATCTTTCCACTTTACCTTTCTTTCGGGCAATTTTATGGGGCTTTTTCCTATCCCACCCACCCCCCACGGAAGAGAGCATTTTCGTGGTTGGAGGAAACACTGCGCAAGGGAGGTACTCCACGAGTGTCGAGGAGTTTCTGGTGGCAGAACGGCGCTGGCGCAAACGGGCGTCCCTCGCCGTTGGACGCAACGGGCACGCAGCCGCAGTCCTGACGGAAGCCGGAGGGGGGGCGCTTATCGGCGTTTTCGGTGGATACGGTAACGGTGGACGCCTTTCCTCTTGTGAAATCTATGAAGTCAGTCGGGACAGGTGAGAGCACACTCGTCCTGGCGACTCCTTTTTTCCTGCAAAATCTTCCTGTTTTGCCTCCTCACTCGTCTCCTCCTCCTCCCCAACACACACAGGTGGTTCAAACTGCCCGATCTGCAAGAGAAGAGGAACGCCACAACTGCTGCCTGCCTGCCCGGCGACAGCAGAATCTTCGTTTTTGGCGGCTCGAATGGCTCCTCCCCGCTGGCTTCTGTGGAGTTCTGCCACCTGCGAGCAAACTGGCGAAAGAGGGCGACCTCGTCGGACTTTTGGCAGCCAGCCGCACCCATGAGAACTGCACGATACGGGCTGGCAGCGACACACTTTCGAGGGAAAATCATTGTCGCCGGGGGAAATGGTGGTGGAAACGTGGTGGAGATGTTTTCACCACCAGATGCCAGGTGTCCCCGGGGCCAGTGGACAGACTTGGCCGGCATGAAGGAACCCCGCGCGCTTTTCGCTCTTCTCACCTCCACCGACGCCATCTTTGCTGTCGGTAATGATGCCTCCTTCCTCCTCCTTTGCTCTACACTGACTGCATTCCTCCTCCACTCTCTCGCTCTTGCATGCCATTCCATGTCCTTTTCTGCGTAATCCCTTTTTATGAGAAAGATTAAGACATCCCTAGTGATGGTAACCAGGTGAAAATGTGACTTTGCATGGCGTTTCGACATCCTCGTAAACACAACGAGGTTAGGGCCGATGGTAGTCTGTTTGTAGTGCAAATCGTCTGCTTATTAAAGTAGATTTTACGAGAATTATGTAGCCGAATGGTTAAAGCGTCTTCAGTAGATACTGCGTTCAAAGCTTACTCAGTCTACACCGAGTTTTATTGAAATAAATTTTTGTCTAGCGGTATTGTGCAAATCGTATGCTAATTTTTCTATTTTGATATTTATGAAGATAGAATTTCACTGGAATTTTTCACAATTTGCAGGCTCAGGAAACACAGTGGAGACTTTCACGGCACCTGGCGGATCAGCTGATGTCAGCAACGACTTGACAGCTTGGAGCTGGTCGTCGAAGAAACTGGAGACTCTTGCATACATCGAAGGAGCTGCAAGCATTCGGATGTAAACTTCTGTGTTTCTTGATGTTCCTTCTGTGACCGGCATGTTAAGAAATAAACTAATTGCAATGTAACCTGTTTTGTCGTTTTCATTGAAGACGTCGAATGGTTGTGGGGTGCCCAACACCTAAGGCAACCGATTAATGGCGTGATTATCTCTGAAAGGAATGAAATGCATGAACCAGTTGATTTTTTACGAGGGAGATGCTCGTTTTCGGGATTAATGCATGGCTTTGGGGAGAAATCATTGTCGCCAGCGGATATGATACTGGAGACGAATTCGATTTAGTGGTGGAGATGTTCTCACTGCCAGGTGTCCCTAGCGGGGTTAATAAACATGGCCTCCAATTTAAAAAAAAACACCAAAAGGGTGTAAATTGCCCAACACTTGGGGTGACAAAATAATCTCTAGCATATCTCTGCGAGGAATGAGAGATGTGGTCGAGGTAAGTTTAGCAAAGAGATGCCCACTTGCTGACGAAGTGAGCAACACTAGTAAGATCGCAGATCGGGGAGCTTGTGTGTTAATATGAATGGCACACGTACTACTTACTGAGGCGACAGGCTACAGGAACACTTAGAGCGTAGACGGCGGACCTGGCACTATGAATTAGGACAGATGTCAACAAGTCCTAATAGTTTCGCACTTCTAAAAACAAATGTAGCCCATCCCCGCGAAATGCGATAGACTGCGGTGTGAGTTGCTTTCGGCCTTCTCTATTAAGGGAATTCGGCATAAGTGATTGTGACCTGATATGTCATGAAACGTTACATTCCTTAGTATTCGGTCGACGGAAGATGTCGGCGGCATGCACGCTGTCTGTCTCCGTAGCAGAAAAGTGATCCGTTTCTTCCTCTGGAAAAGATTTAGCGGTGGGGCTGTCTCGGGATTTATGTTTAGCAAAGATTTCACTGAGCATGACGAGCTCACATGAATGATGTCAAGGGTATTTAAGAAAACGCATGTTCAAACATAAACCTGGTTAGTGATTTTGTTGCAACCAGAGATACGATACTTGAGACTTCTAGTGAACATTACTTTCATTTTAGTGGTCGAGTGATTTTCCTCACAGTAAAATAACACTGTTAAGGAAGCTCCAGACTTGCGAATGCTTGCAGCTCCAGCTATCTTTCGAGCGACTCCAATGGTTTCTTCGACAACGAGGTCCGAGATGTTAAGTCGCGACTGATATCAGCTGATCCGCCTGGTGCTGTGAAAGACGCCGCCGTGTATCCTGATCCCTTCCAACAGCCTGCAATGTTTAAGTAATTCCAATGACATTCTATTTTCATAAATATCAAAATATCATCTAGGGACGCCCCTGTCCGCATTCGGCCAGATGCGGAATCTACGTCCACGGACTGCGATCGAATCTGCGTTCGTCGCGCATCAATCACAAACCAGGCGTCAGCCACAAGAAGCCTCGCAGAAGAATAGGTGCACCGATTAGCATTAGAACTACAGATTAAAAGCGGAGGGGATCTCGATCTCCACTGCAGTCCCACATGGAATCTTGCGTCATCCCTTGATGCCTCCTGACACACAAACACATGCCAGTTCGACCATCGGTGTCGATGATGTCCACCGTGCGCCTCACTGTTGCAGCAGCAATGGGAGCAGGGACGGTGACTTGCGAAGCGGTTTATAGTGCCAGTATTCATGCGCTGCATCTACCTACACCCCCTCCTCCTCCTTCGCCTGAGGCAGGTGTCAAGACAGAGTCAAGAAGACCGGAGACGAGGGAGGCCGCTGATGGATGGCTCGGACGGATCCTCACCTTGATGTTCCACCACACCGCCTGCTCCACACAACACATATCAAGTATTTTGACCAACACATCAGAGGTTGGATGCTGGCGCGGCCGAGGCCGCACCTGGGCGTGCCACCAACGCATGGCTCGGATCCCACACAGTGGTAGGAGTGCCATAAAGGCCACATTAAAAAGGAGCAATTGCAGCCCGAACCTCAGACCTCCTCAAGACGAGGAGAAGGTCCAAGGTACCCCGTCAGTTGGCAACCATCCAAGCCACGGTTTTTAGCGGGCCGAGATAACATCAAGCACGTCAGACTGTTTAGAGTGAGGACAAAGTGCGCTGAGTCGTCGACCTCACCCTCTCCTCCCATTCCCACACATCAGCCACCGTCCGAGCCCGTCAGTAACTGGAGTGGGGAATGGGCGAGGCGGCTGGCATGGTCGTCTGACCTTGCCTGCGCGCGCCATCAGTACGACCTGGCCCCCATTACACACACACACACGCACACACACACACACACACACACACACACACACACGACGACAGTTCGTCCGTCGATTTCGACGATGTCCACCGTGTGCCCCACAGCTGCAGCAGCGGTGGAAACAGGGACGGTGACTTACGCAGGGGTTTATAGTGCCAGTAGACTTGCGTAGCATCTACCTACACTCTCTCCTCCTCCTCCCCCGCCTGAGCCCGGTGTCAAGACAGAGTCAAGAAGACCGGAGACGAGGGAGGCCGCAGGTGGATGGCTCGGACGGATCCTCACCTTGGTGTTCCACCACACCCCCTGGTCCACACAACAATAACCAGGATTTGAACCAACACAACGTAGATTTGGAGGCTGGCACGGCCGAAGCCGCACCTGGGCGTGCCGCCAACGCCTGGCTCGGATCCCACACTGTGGTGGGAATGCCATAAAGGCCACATTAAAAAGGAGCCATTGCAGCCTGACTCTCAGACCGCCTCCCGTTAAGTAGGAGGTCCAAGGTACCCCGTCAGTTGGCAACCTTCCAAGCCACGGCTTTTAGCGCACCGTGATAGCTTCAAGCGCGTCAGATTGTTTATAGTGAGGAGAAAGTGCGCTGAGTCGTCGACCTCACTCTCCCTTCCCATTCCCACATCCCAGCCACTGTCCGAGCCGGTCAGTAGACTGGAGTGGGGAATGGGCGCGGTGGCTGACATGGTCGACTGACCATGCCTGCGCGCGCCACAGCACGACCTGGCCCCCAATACACACAAACACCAGGATTTCACACAACGGGGGTTGAACGGCGTGTCTCTCACATGCGTGAGAGGGCCGGGGAAGGTGCTGCTTCAGCCTGTCCCCAGCCCACCAGTCCGCCACTACACAACACACACTTACAACGTGACGAACTGCGTGAACCGAGAACGGGCGTCAATCAGCAACCTTCCTATCCACGACACTTGACGTGTCGGGATAGTCTTGGACACAAGTCACCCGTGCAGCCGAAACTGCATGGGGACCGAGTCAAGATGCACACTTCCCACTTGCGTGGGAGGCGGCAGTTGAGTGCATGAGGTGTGTGAGGGTTGACGTATAGTGGGGTGATGATGTTAGGAGGTAGGGAGTGAGGGAATGTGTGGTGTGACCGGCGGTTGTCTACCGCAGGTCTTCGTGGATGCGCATGTGGCCGAATAGACCCATGCGATACGTGAAGGTGCGAGGGCAGTGTGGGCAGTGGAGGCGAGTGCGGTGGGTGTAGGTTGGTGCTCCAGGCACTGGTTCGCCAGTCTCTGTGCGATGAATTCGCAAGTGACCCATCAGGCCGATGCGTGAGGTGAAGGTGCGTGGACAATGTGGGCATGAGAGGTCGGCGGTGTCGGTGTCAGCTGTAGAGGAAGCAGTGGTGTTGGTGGTGGCGGTGCTGGTGGTCGGCGCGTGTGACGGTGGGGCGAGGATGCGTCTGGGCGTGTTGGATGTCGTGGCTGTATCGGAATTGCGGTCAATGCAGCTCTCTTGGATGCGCATGTGGCCGAATAGACCCATGCGATGCGTGAAGGTGCGAGGGCAGTGTGGGCAGTGGAGGCGAGTGCGGTGAGTGGAGGTTGGTGCTCCAGGCACTGGTTCGCCAGACTCTGTGCGATGGATTCGCAAGTGACCCTTGTAAATATAAACGGTGGACACACACACATTGGATTTTAAACTTAGCACAGTTACTTACAGTTAAGTGGAGAGTCACGTTGGTCGGCATCCAATGTGGGACGCAACTTGGGATTTCTGGTCGATTAAGTGCATTGTTCACTTTGACAATGGAGAGCCGGCCAAGTTCCTCGAAATGTCAGCATTTTAATAAACCAGTTTCGGTGAGCCCATCTTCTTCTTCCTCAAATAATCAACCCGGATATTTCAACTTTCCCAATCTGATCTGATCGGAGTCTGTTAGGCATTAATTGCAAAGAGGCACTCAGCAAATTTCAACATTGTGTCGACTTCAGTCTGCAGGCAGACCGCGTTTCTAACAAAAATCTCAGTTTTCAAAGTCATAGAATCGCCAAAGTCAGTTTTTCAGATCATGGAATATGTTACTATTTAAAAAAACAGCTAGATCGCGGACAGTCACAATTTAAACATTAAACGAATTACGAAAAGCTGCAGTGAATGTGGTCGTTATCATTATAAACATGCGCATGATAGCATTGGAATTGCAGCTTATAAATATTTCACCCGCTGTACGCCCACAACATCAGTCTGTTGCTGTCCTTGATCAAAAAGGGATTGGGGAAACCCAGTGAACATTATTTTCGCTCGAGCGATCGAATGATTCTCCTCACTTCAAAATGGCACTGCGAAGAATGCTTGTCTTCTGAAAAATAAGTGGGTTCAGTCTCCGAAGTTGTTCCTAAGCCTAATTGGTGGGATTCGAACCCACCACAGCAAAGTGAGGCTTTATTACAGCCTACGATCTAGCCACCTGAGATACGAGGTCCCACCGGAAGACACGAGTTTAATCGCATCTCAATCAAGTTTACCCGTTCGATCTACAACAACGTTTGGAATCCACCAAATCTGATACAGTAAGCTGAATGTCTAGGCATGATTTCCTAAGTAAAACATCTAGAATCCACCTGATGGCTACGTTTTTTACGTAATTCATAGGTATTTTGGCAGACACGATAATTGTAGCGTCGTCCGGTGGAGCCTCTCAGCACAGGTGAATAGTGCGTTGGCTGAATTAAGGCTTCCCCATTCTGTCGTGTGTTCAGACCCCATCGAGACGCCAAGTATTTCATATTAGTATCAAAATAACTGGTCTGTGTTCTTGAGTTTAATACGGCAATATCGACAATAGTCGGTCAAGCTGCAATAGGGGTGTCTTGTGAGTCAACATAAGGAGATATGGATTACTTGACATAGTTAAACCCTTGCTGTCTCGACTTCAAATCCCACCGTGGCACCGAGGCTTTACAGATCGATCGAGGTGGATGTGTGGGTCTTTAAGAAATATATTCTTAGATATTTTGACAGATTTTGAATAATTCATATTTACCCAACTGTATAAAACTCGGCGAATCGGTGGGTTTCGAACCCACGCAGTAAGGGGGAGTCGTCAGTACAGCCAACGCTCTAACCACCTGAGCTACGAGGCCCCGCCGGACGACGCGAGTTTTATCACATTTGGGTCAAGTTTCGCGCCCAACTTACTGCAACGTCTGGAGTCCACCAAATCTGATACAGTCATTTGACTGCCCGGGCAAGATTTCCTAAGTAATACATCTAGAATGCACCAGATGGCTACGAGTAATTCATATAGTTATTCAAAGGTATTCATATAGGTAATTCATAGGTATTTTGGCAGATACGATTAATGTAGCGTCGTCCGGTGGAGCCTCTTAGCACTGTTGGCAAGAGCGTTGGCTATACTAAGGCTAACTCTTGCTGTAGTGGGTTCCTATCCCACCGAGGCGCCGAGTATTTCATGTGTGTATAAAAATGACTCGTCTGCGTACTTGAGTTTTATACGGCAATATCGAAAATAGTCGGCCAAGCTGCAATAGGCTCGCCTTGCCAGTCAAAATAAGGAGATATGGATTACTTGACATAGTTAAACCCTTGCTGTCGTGGGTTCCAGTCCCACCGTGGCACCGATGTTTAACAATTCAATCAACGTGGATGCGTGAGACTTTAGGAAATATATTCTGTAAACTGAAGGGACTCTTGGTTCTAACGGATTGGCAATTTAGGACTATACAGAGGTTTCACTTTCAGGTGCGGCACAACACTGACATGTCAGGTAAATTCCACGCGATCTGGTTGAGAAGCTGCTGCTCTGTATTTCGACTAACAAACATTGCACTCATTGCATTAGGGCTCCTGTCATCATTATTCACAAACCAAGTGCAGACGCGAGCAGATCACGCCATTCTGGGTGCACCGATTTGTACTAAAATCTACTGATCCGATGCGGAGGGAGTGAGGGAGCTTGGCTGGGTGGTGTTTCGTATGTGCAGATTGCAGGCGTCCTGGTGTTGCGTGTTAGCAGGGTGGGGCTTCGATTCCCGTGAAAGAAGAGGATGACGCACTCTCTACTCGATCTTCTCTTCAGTCTCACAGCGACTGCCGCTCTGAATTACGCTAACCCTTAGCCAAAGCTCAATGTAGCCATAGGTGATCTAGATGACGGTATGGGATTGTTGTCTTTCAGCGGCTGTAATTCAAACGCAGTCTGCTGAAGAGCGTGTTGTCCATCAGAGTAAGGCAAACATCGGCAAAATCGCAAGGATTGAATACTGCACAAAGTTCTATAAAATACAGGCTTGTGGTTTGATCTTGGGCAGGATAAACGACGGTGGCGTAAGTGACAGTGTGAGAACGAGAAGGATTAGATCAGATGATGCGTCGGCTCCACGGTGGCATGAAGGCGCGAGACGCAGACAAAGGGACCTGGCAGGAGATGTCCAGGTAAACGACCCCTAGGTAAGCTGAATATTGCCCTGTAGTCTTTGCCCGCTAACTATCTCCATTTCAGCAATGAGCTAGCTCAACGTCTAGACAACTTACCAATCCCCAATGCGGCCGTTGCCGCCGACGAGAACGGCTCCGTGGAGAACTGGTGTGACACAATCCAGTCGAAGGCGCTGGCCGTCCTCGGTCGCGCATCCCGCCACCTACAGCCTGCTCTCCGAGAATGGCCGCCTGCTAAAAGCCTACATAGACCACCCCACCGACGACGACGACAACAAAGCAGCATTCTACCGTTGCCGCCGCCTTGTGCAACAGCGTCTGCGCGAGATGCAGAACGCACGGTTGGCCCGCAAGGCCATGGAGATCGAAGGGCTCGCGCGACCACAACGAATAGAAGAAGATCTTTTCCATCAAAGCCCTCTACTGTCCACCCGCCAAAGGTTCTGCACCTCTCCTCGGCGTCGACTGAAAAACCCCGCTCACCGAGAAGACACAAATTCTGCAGCGATATGCTGAACAATTCAGGGGCGTCCTCAAAAATCCTTCTACCATCTCCGACACCGCCATCGCCCGCCTGCCCCAAGTGAGGACCAACACCAACATCGACCTCCCACCCTCTCTCCACGAGACTATCATGACCGTGCAGCAGCCCTTCAGCAGAAGTCGCCCGCATCGGACGCGAACTTTGCGGAGGTCTACAAGCATGATGGTCCCCAAATCATGGAGCACCCGGCGGCACTGTTCCAGGAGATGTGGCTTCAAGGAAAAGTCCCGCAGGATTTCAAGGACGCCACCATCATCCACCTATACAAACGGATAGGAAACCGCCAGCTTTGCGACAACCACCGAGGCATCTTCTTGCTGAACACTGACGGTAAGATATACGCTCACATTCTTCTCAACCGCCTTAACAATCACTTGCATTAAGGTCTTCTGGCGAAAAGTCAGTTCGGCTTTCACCGTCATCGTGGCACCATGGGCAGGATCTTCACCACCCACCAGCTGCAGGAGAGGCGTCAGGCGATGCGGACCCAACTGCACCCTTCTTTAGTGGATCTGACGAATGCGTTCGACAGGGTGAATTGTGACGAAATGTGGATAATCATGCGGTGATTTGGCTGTCCGTGACGATTCAGCCAGAGGGTGCGTCAGCTCCATTATGACATGATGGCACGCATCACGGACGAATTCGCAGTATTGTGTTCCCCTCCATGTTGATGTATGCCAAACGCGACGAACGCCCCAGGATCCGCCTTGTCTATGGGACGGCTGGCCACGTCCTCAACCACAGACGGATGCACTTCCGGTCGCGTATATCCACAGTAACCATCCATGAACTTCTGTTCGTCGATAAGCACCTCGGGATCCGCATCGCCATATAGAACTGTGAGTGACCTGTCTAACCGCTGGACGATGCAAATTTGATCGCGTTCTTCCACAACCACCATCCACTAGGAGAGTCAGACTGAAACAACTCCTTCTCAGCGTGTTCACGTCACCCTCACGCATGTCAGATGTAGGCTGCTCAACCCGAGTTGTGTGTAATCAAGGCGCTCGTGTTTGAGGAGCCAGGTCGTGCATGTGGCGCGCGTATACACGGTCACTTTACCCTGTCAGCCACGACGTCCATTCCACGCTCAAGTCAACTGACCGGCTCGGACAGTGGCTGTGGCCTGAGAATGTGAAGGGAGAGTGAGATCGACGACTCAGCGCATTTTTCTCACAATTGAATGCATATACTTCATGCTGAGCCAATTGCAGTTGCGCTGGAGCGGCCACCTGGTGCGCATGGACAACGAGTGACTACCAGAACGCCTCTACTACGTAGAAGTCGCGACGGGTTCTCGTCGTCACGGAGGCTAGATTCGCCGTTCAAAGGATACCCTGAAGTCCTCCCTGAAGCGCCTGCAAATCAACCCGACCAACTGGGAAGAGCTCGCCCGCGATCGTCCGACATGGAGGAGAACAGTGAAGACAGGCGCTGCTATCCACGAAGCCAACCGCATAGCCGCCGCCAAAGCGAAACGCGAAACGCGAAACCCGCAAATCACATCTTCGCCCAGTAATCAACGCCGCGGCACAACCGCTCCCAAAGTGTCCTCGACATCAACGGAAATTCCGGGCTCGAATCGGACTTGTTGGCCATCTTCGGATCAACTGCACCTCTCCAACTGAACCAAACTTTATCCCCATGCCCGCCTCTTCCTCCCAGCCGCCACCAAATAACTCTGACAATTCTTCTGCACCACCACTTCCATCCTCCTCCTCCTCCTCCTCCTCCTCCTCCACCTCCACCTACTCCTCCCCCACTGTCCCATCGGCGGCCGCTCAGGCGGCCGTCTCGCACATCAACTCCGACACAACAACCGACACCACACCCACCTCTCCCGATTCCAGTGATGAGGATCAGGACTAAACCTGCCCTCACTGCGATCGCACCTTCACCTCACGCAACGGCCCGGTCGGTCACTTGAGAATCCATCGCACAGAGACAGGCGAACCAGTGCATGGAGCACCAACCTATACCCACCAAGCTCGTCTCAACTGCTCACACTGCACTCGAACCTTCAGGCATCGCATGGGCCTTTTCGGCCAAATGCGCATCCACGAGATCTGCATTGACCGTACTCCCACATGCCCACATTGTCCACGTACATTCACCTCACGCATCGGCCTTGTCAGTCACTTGCGAATCCTTCGCACAGAGACTGGCGAACCAGTGCCTGGAGCACCAACCTGTGTGTGTGAGTGTGTGGGATGTAGGGGTGTCCAGCGGTGGGTTCACGTGAGGGTCGTAGTGGTTGCTCACTTGCTTGCAGGTGAGAGGACGCCTAGCGACCATTTGCTGTCACCCAAATCTCACATGTGGCTTCACGTTGCTGGGCTCTGCCCAGTGGCCAAACTCGGGCAACCGCCTCGACCGGCGGGCTAAACCAGGTGAGGGTGCTGTGCGCTTGTGCCGCGTGCACAGTGTACTGCGGACTCCGCTGGACGGATGGTCGGATGAAACACTGCGCCGCCATCGTCGAGACTAGGCTCTGCCTGGTACGCCGTTGGACAACTGCTGCCGGGACGGCCTCCGCATCGCCTTCGCTGAGACGCGTCCACCTTTGCCGACGAAGACCGCGGACTAACGGCATATGCGGCCGTTCTCCACTACAAACATAAAATTCGTGGCCCCATAGTGGGATACGGTCGCGCCAACCAGGCAAATCGGCAGCCCGATACAGGGGCGGCACTGCCAGACCCATCGAGGGGAAGGGCCTAGAAAATGTGGCCTAAAAAAATGCTGGGCGCCAGGAGGTTTGCAGCCTAGCCATGGCCGCAGATGTCAAAACACGGTCGACACACTCAAAATAGAAACAACAACAATACCAATAACAACAACAACCATAATGATTCTCCTCATCCTACCTCTTCTACCTCTTCCTCTGCCTATTCTTCTGCCTATTGTTCTGCCTATTCGGCCACATGCGCATCCACGAGGGCGGCATTGACCGCACTTCCAACACACCAACCACATCCAACACATCCACTGTGCACACCCCCACCCTCGCTCCAACCATCTGCGCCACCACCACCACCACCACCACCACCACCACCACCACCACATGCGCATCCACGACGACCTGAGGTAGACAACCGCCGGCCACACCACACATTCACTCACTCCATACCTCCAACCACCACCATCACACCACCACATACCAACACTCACACACCTCATGCACCCGATTGTCACCTCCCACGCAAGTGGCAAGTGTGCATCTCGACTCGGTCCCCATGCGGCTTCGGCTGCAGGGTCGACTTGAGTCCGAGACTATCCCGACACGTCAAGTGTCGTGGATAGGAAGGTTGCTGAGTGACGCCCGCTGTCGTTGTGTGTGTGTGTGTGTGTGTGTGTGTATGTGTGTGTGTGTGTGTGTGTGTGTGTGTGTGTGTGTGTGTGGGGTGTAGGGGTGTCAGCGGTGGGTTCACGTGAAGGTCGTAGTGGTCGCTCACTTGCTTGCAGGTGAGACTACGCCTAGCGTCCACTTGCTGGCACTCAACTCTCACCTGTGGCTCCACGTAGCTGGGCTCTGCTCAGCGGCCACACCCCGGGCAACCGTCTCGACCGGCGGGCTAAACCAGGTGAGGGCGGTTACTCCCTGTGCGCGTTGTGCCGCGTGCACAGGTGACAGCGGACTCCGTGGACGGTTGGTCGGATGGAACACCGCGTCGGCGCCGTCGTGACGAGGCTCTGTCTGATGCACCGCTGGTCAGCCGGTTGGTGGTGGAACGTCGCATCGGCATCGTCTAGACGAGGCTCCGCCTGGTACGCCGTTGATCAGCCGGTGGGAGGGATCTCCGAATTGGCACCGTCGACACGCGCCCATCTGGTGCACCGTAGGAGACCGCAGGCTTGCGGCAATGCCGTAAGCCATTGGCAAATTCGAGTCGTTCTTCCACTGCCAAAAAAACTCGTGGCCCACAGTGGAGTTCGGCCGCGCCGGCACATCAAGCAGCCCCTATTCAGGGGTCAGGGCACTGCTTCCTTCGGGGGGGCCTGGAAAAGCTGGCCTAAAAATTGCTGGGGAACCACGTCGTCTGCTGGCGCACCGTGGTCACAGACGCAAAACTCACGGTCGAAACAATCAAACTCGAAACAACAACAACAACCATACTCACTCTCCTCATCCTACCTCTTCTACCTCTACCTCCGTCTATTCTTCTGCCTATTCTTCTCCTTCGTCATCTTCTTCTCCACCTCCTTCTCGTCGCCCCATTCGTTGTCCCCAGACTGAAAGGGTGAGCCCGCTCACTCTGGCAGCCTGGAATGTTCGTTCCCTTTTAGACAATCCGAGGAGCAACCGTCCGGAACGGAGGACGGCGCTAGTGGCACGAGAACTGGCGCGCTACAAGGTGGACATCGCCGCACTCAGCGAG